ATAATTTATTGTTGGTAGTTCTATGTGTTTATATTCCGCCCAATGCCAAGGACGAAATGTATGAAACAGTTTTTACCGAAATAGAAAGTGTATTACCCAAATATGACAGGTTTTTAATATGTGGTGATTTTAATTTGAATTCCGCAAATACTAATATACGTATTAGATTTGAATATTTACTGTCATTCTGCGATCTTCAGCAAATAAACTGTGTGTGTAACAGTGCGGGTGGTATGTTGGATTTGGTACTGGTGAATGCATCGTTGAGTCAGATCACAGTGCGGAAAGAGGAGGATTGGTTGGTACCACCTGATGACTATCATCCACCATTGAGCATACAGGTAAGTGACATGTTTGTTCATAATAAGTGCGTGGGCTCGAATGTGGATTCTGCTGTTTTTACCGGTTGGAACTTCAAAAAAGCAGATTTCTGCAATTTATATCGTATTTTTGAGAATACATGCTGGGATTCTATATATGAAATATCTGACCCAGATGAAGCCGTGTCTGTTTTTTATAAGATTATTAAAGATTGTATAAATAATTGCGTGCCGATTAAATCGCGTTTATCAGAGCCACCTCGATACATATATCCTGTGTGGTACTCCGATTGTACTAAACGCAACATTAAGTTGAAAGCATATCATCATCGTTGTTATAAAAGAAATGGCAATGTACATAATAGGCAAGAATTTATGAGGCTTAGGGCAATGGTGAAATTGAACATCAAGGAGAATTTTCAGATTTACAAAAACAAAGTCGAAAGTAACTTAAGGCGAGATCCGTCGACCTTTTGGCGTTATATAACGTCCAAACGTCGAGTTAAAAAGTCTGAAGTGATATTGTCAGAAGGAAAACCTTTATCTGATGAGGATGGAGCACAATTGTTTGCTCAATACTTTCGATCTGTGTATGCAAACAATCCACCTATTTTGAACGCAGACGAAGCAATTGCGGTGGCAGGTTCAGAAAGTTTGCGCGTTCATATCGACGCCATTAGTCTCGATGATGTGGAGCTGGCATTCAGACGACTCAATGCAAAATGTTCAGCCGGTCCTGACGGCATTCCTCCTTATATCGTAAAAGACTGTAAGTCAGTATTTTTAAAACCAATATGTTATCTTTTTAACTTGTGTCTCAGTAAATGTATTTACCCGGAAGTGTGGAAAATTTCACGCGTGGTTCCCATTCCTAAAGGTAATTCTAAGTCGGATGTAAGCGATTTTAGACCAGTGGCAATATTGTCTAGCTTCGGTAAATTATTCGAGAGTATATAGAGGCCTGGCCGTTCCACGGCTACCAACTTACTGTCCTTTTGGACATATGTCACGGATGCAGTGGACTGTGGCAGCCAGGTTGACGCAGCGTATTTCGATATAAAAAAAGCATTCGACAGTGTAGACAACGACGTTCTTCTTCACAAACTTTCAGCTGCCGGATTTTCTCCATTGTTAACTAAATTTTTCTCCAACTACCTTCGCAATCGAAGGCAGTTTGTGCAGTATAATGGGAGCTACTCTGAGCCATATTACACTTATTCCGGGGTAAGTCAGGGGAGTAATTTAGGACCCTTGGAATTTTTGATATTTATCAATGATTTGCCGGAGGTAGTCACTACGGCGTCCTGTCTGTTGTTTGCAGACGACTTAAAATTATTTTTTAAAATTACCAAATTCTCTGATTGTGAGCTCCTTCAGAAAGATATAAACAATATCTTTGAGTGGTGTGGAAGAAATCGCTTGATGTTCAATGACACCAAATGTTCACTTGTAACATTTAGTCGGAATGTGGACACCTATAGGCATAATTATCAGTTAGGTAATACACTGCTAAATAGGGTAAAGTCTATAAGAGACCTGGGGGTTTTGATGAGCGATGATCTTACTTTCCGAAGTCATATTAGTGCACTATGCACTCAGGCGTTCAGGACCCTTGGATTTGTATTGCGACAGGCACACCAGTTAGACAACATACTTAGTATTAAAATACTATATAATGTCTTCGTACGCAGTAAACTAGAAAGTAACGCAATTATCTGGAACCCACATGAGTCAAAATATATACTCATGGTGGAGAAACTCCAAAAAAAGTTTATACGATATGTACATCAAAGGCAGTACGGTTACAGAGTCACATATGTTTATGTTTGGGATGGTGGGATATGACACACTCGAAGTAAGACGGAAGTTTGCATTAATGGAATATGTAGTCAAAGTCATGAGAGGTGAAAAATGTAACCAAGCGGTATTAACATCGGTGTCTATAAGAGCGCCCAATAACTACGTACAAGCAAGAAGACGAAAGTTGTTTGATGTTCCATGGAGAAGAACAGAGCTGGTCAAACAGGCTCCTATTTCTCTGGCATTGAGTCTACTCAACGGTGTAGTTAGTCGCTTTCCAGATCTAGACATATTTACTTGTAATTTGCTGGAGTTTCGTAGGATGGCAGTGGATTATTTAGGTAGTATGTTAAATGGAGATTAGGTATTATTATTATTATTGTTTTTTTTTTCTCTTTTGTTTTTCTTGTGTAATTACTGTTTATAATTGTGTGTATTTGTATATTATCTTCCTAAGTGGGCATATTGGGAGACTGTTAAGCTCACTTAGTACGATGTAAATAAATAAATAAATAAATAAATAAAATAAATAAATAATAACCAACTAAACCGAGGAAAGACTTAATGTCCTTCTGTGTTTTTGGGATAGGGAAATTTAAAACAGCTTTTATTTTATCTTTATTAGGTTTAAGTCCGTCGGCTGTTAGTTCATGTCCTAAGAATTGTACATGTTTCTGTAAAAATTCTGATTTATCGAGTTGAATTTTGAGATTATGAGTTTTTAAACGATCAAATACTTGTTTTAATTAATTCATGTGCTCTTGTAGTGACGTAGAAGCTATTATGACGTCATCTAAATATGTAAAGACGTTATCGAGTCCACGTAAAATATGATCCATTAGTCTCTGGAATGTACTTGGAGCATTTTTGAGACCAAACGGCATTCTTAAAAATTCGAAATGTCCCCTTTCTGTTGAGAATGCTGTTTTCTCAATATCACGAGGGTGCATTTCTACCTGGTGGTACCCACTTGCTAAATCTATTGTACTGAAGTACTGTGCACGTCCTAGTCTATCGAGTATATCGCTAATGTTCGGCAAAGGATATTTGTCTTCAATAATCCTATCATTAAGTCGCCTATAGTCAATGACTAATCGCCACTTGACTTTGCCAGAAGCGTCAAGCTTCTTAGGGACTATGTGAACAGGGCATGACCATGGTGATATACTTTCACGGATAATGCCTTGTTTCATAAGGTTATCGATTTGGGATTTAATTTCTAATCTTTGTTGTGGGGCTTGTCTATAACTACGTACAAAAATCGGGGTGTCGTCAGTTAATCTTAGTTCGTGTTTAACAGCGTGAGTGAAGGTTAAAGGGATGTTTTCGGAATAAAATAGATCTCTATACTGATAGCACAATTTAGTTATCTCGCGTTCCTCTTCTTCGTTCATATGGCTAGATCGAATTTTCTTTAAATTTTCACATAGTTCTTTATCAATATTTATATTACTTTGCATTGAATATGAATAATGAATCGGTTTTTCATTTTGCTTATATGGTTGTAATTCGATTGGGGATTTGTTTGTAATAATTTTCTTTTCTGTATTTGAATTAATGATTGATGTTAGGAATGTCCCATTATGAACCTTAACTATCGCCGCGGGAGATACTAAACCGGGTGTCCAACTGTACTCGTCATGGATATACTGTCCGTCTGTGTAGTTACATTTAATTTTAATTATTTTTTGGCACATCGGTTCTAATCGAATATTCTTTTTGGGGTAATCGAAATAAATTGGTATGTCAGTAGTATGGGTGCGAAGTATTTTATTTTTTAAATCGATATTACTCGAGAGTGATTTTAATAGGTCTAATCCAATTAATCCTTTATATTTATTGTCAAACTCGAAAATGAGAAATTTGTGAGTGATGTTCGAGTTAAAGACTGATGGTAGGGGCAAATGAGCGACATATGCATGTTGCGTCACCGCGTGAGCTGTCTTTACCTCGAATGGTTCGTAATCGATGCATTGTTCGAGTTTCGCGTATTGAATGACATCGGGCGATATCATAGAACGTGAGGCGCCAGTATCAATGAGAAACTTTCCATTAAACTCGGGGATTATTATGTACGGGAGATGATCTTTATCTTGGTGGTTTAGTTTTATCAACTCTGGTCGTCTTCGTCCTGAGTTTCGGAAAAATCCTGAGATGTTTCAATTTGTTCTTCTATTAAGTTAGTGTTAGGGTAGTAATTGTTATGCTGTTCATCATGAGGGGAATAATAATCTAACGGGTTGCAATAATACTGAGGTGTGTCGGACTTATCTTCGTACGGAGTGTAGAATAATTCCTCATATGCATATTGTGGAGGTGTCGGTTTGTTAACCGATCGCATAGTGACGTCAGATGTAAGTTGAGTCGGACTTACCTGTTGTTGTGGAACGTTCGGCTGTCTTTGATGGTTATTGTTACTCCTAAAGTTGCCTGAGTTTTGCTTAAAATTACCGGGGATTGGTCTATTCTTCCAGGGTAATAATGAATTAACTAACTGTTGCCGTTGTTCCGGGCTGAGATTATTTTGTTGAGGTACATATTGATTAAATGGCATTTGTCGTGAAAAATGTGGCTGCGTTGAAAAATTGAATGGTGTACCTACTTGACCATGAAATTGACGTGGAAAATTATTAGGTTTATAATTATCTATTTTTGTAGCTTTTTGCTGTTGGTTTTGGGAATTAAAACTAGAATTATTCTTATAAGTAACTGATTTCGTCTCCTCCTGTCGTGCGGTTACTATTGCAAGTTCCAATGTACCTGGCATCATAATTCTTACGCCTATTGATATATGGAAGTCCAATTGACTGATATATTGCTCAATAGCCATTTTCTCATAGTACGATGTGTCGGTGTGTTGCCCAACCATATACAGAGTATCTAAAAGGTCCTAATCCTTTTACCGAAGGATTCCGCATCCACGTTTTTATTCCGACGGATACGTGTGAGCTCTTGCATAACTTGAATCTCGTTCCTAGGTTCTCCTAGACGTGTTAGTAGAACGCGTTTTATATCGGGCCAACTGTTTAATGACTCCTCATAAGCTATCGCGTCAATCGCCGCACCACTAAGGCGACTTTTTATAAGACAAACTATAGCTAGAGAGCCTGCATCCGCTGTTGGGTGGATAAGTCCCATTAAATTATCAACTTCTCTTAAATAAAAGTTTAATCTTTTAGGGTTCCCATCGTATTTGGGCATGAGGTCAGTAATCATCTTATAGTCGGCTGCGAACTCCATTTTAATAATATTTTATATTTATGATAATAACTATATTACTATTAATACGTGTATACACACAGGATTCAATTGATTTTAAATTGACTTGTGAAATCTATAGCGATACGAGCCTATAGACAGATACACATTAAAGTTCACTTATAATTAAATACGAAAGGAAATAGAGCATAGGATGTACTTGGAAAGTAATAGAGTACTCACCAACACAGCATCTTCTGCATCTCCGTTTCGGGTCTCGTCGATCACAGGTCTCCAATTTTCCGGATTCCCGCAAGTCTTCAATATGCCGCCGTTATAGTTCTTATTATGATATCGCGGATAGTTACGATTAGCACCGTTCACTCTAGTTCTCAACACACGAAGAGTCTATTCGCGCGAGGACTTCTATTTACAAAGTCCTAGAGTGCCGCGATCCTACCGACTGCGCCACTTATGTTACGGCGGGCGATATTTGCCTTTTAAAAAATATATTTTATTTAATTAAAACAAATGAAATTATTTAAGGTACAAACTGTATAATTATGTCTAAAGATCGATCAAGACTGCTGTAAAAATATAACAATTAATAATTGGTGTTAGGTGCCGATTCGTGGTAATTTGCTGTTCCTGGTAGCGGTGTCAGCTTATTGTGCCACACACAGCAATTTACCAGGCGTTATGCCATGGTAACTCTCGTGTTACTTAACTTTGACATTATAATGAAGTAGTCTTTATTTTTGTATTTTCTTTTTTAGGTACCTTTAGTTTTTATTTTTTTTTAATTTATTATACGATTTACTATTGTTATTGTGAATATATTGCTAGTGTTTAATTTGTAAGTAAGTGTTCCATAATGAATCTCGTCAAGTCAACCTAAGCAGTTAATGCATTCAGCTATATATTGTTTTTTTGTTTGTGTTTTTTTTTTTTTAATTGGTTATATTATTGGTATTTTATTAATTTTAATATTTATTTACATATTATTTGTTTATTATTTGTATTTATTTTACGTGTCTTTATATTATTATGTCCATACATGATGATTACTTTTCTTGCTCATCCTCAGACGATTTCGACACTGCCTCGAGCCATAATTCTTCTTTATCTGATTGTGCTCCTCTTGATGACAAACTACGAACAACCTTTGCTTATCGTTCCAAACATCTTTCCCTAGTGCATATTAATGCTCAGAGTTTATTAGCTCATCATACTGATCTTCTCACGTCTTTCAGCGCCGGCATAGTCGACTGTATTCTTGTCTCTGAAACTTGGCTTAAACCATCCCTTCCTTCCACCTGTTGCTCTATTCCTGGGTATAAACTTTATCGAAATGACCGTACCACTTATAGGGGTGGCGGTGTAGCGATTTATCTACGTAGCCAAATTTCGGCGGAATCGGTGAGTGCATCACACTCTCAGCTCACTGCCTCCATTGAATATTTATTTCTTTCTATAACATTACATCATAAAAAACTCTTACTGGGTGTTTTGTATAGTCCTAACGACAAAATTGACTATTTTTGTGCATTAGAGAATACTCTGGAAGACTTAATTCCACGTTTTGATCATGTCATTCTAATGGGTGACTTAAATACATGTATCTTAAAAAATGACTATAGGACTGATAACCTCATGGGTCTGGCTTCTGGCCTTAATCTCCAGGTATTGCCTATGCTTAAACCCACACATTACTTCCATAACTGTAGACCTTCCCTTATTGACTTAATTCTTGTTTCACAACCCGACAAAGTTATATCTCATGGTCAAATGTGTTCTCCCTTTTCTCAACACGATTTAATTTATCTATCATTTAACATGCGCCCTCCGAAGAATAAGGGTAAGGTTTTATTACTTCGCGATTTTCGGCATATAGATCTAGATCGTTTGAGAGAGGATATGAGGAATATTGACTGGTCTCACTTACTGCTAGCTGATAATATCGATTGCATGGTTGAAACATTTAACAAAGAGATCATTAAAATTTTTGACATCCATGCACCAGTGCGTCCAGTCCGCGTTAAACACGCTCCTGCTCCTTGGCTTACTCCTATTATTCGGAGAACCATGGCCAAACGTGACAGAGCTAAAAGTCAGTACAAGCACGAGAGATCACAGGTTAACTTTGAATTGTATAAAAAGCTACGCAACGTCTGCAACAGAATGTGTAGGGATGCTAAACGCCGATATATCCATAATACTATACAAAACCTTAGACAGCCTCAAATTTGGAAGTTTCTCCAGTCGCTAGGAGTGGGCAAGGCCTCCGACTCTTCGCTGAGTGGTCTCGATCTCAATGCGCTAAACATACATTTTTCCTCTACTCCTGTTACTCTTAGCAATTCCACTAAAGCCAATTCCCTTTCCATTCTTTCTAACCTTCTCCCACAGAATTGTCCTTCCTTAACTTTCAGTACTGTATCAGAAGATGCCGTTAGAAAGTGTATCCTTTCCTATCCACTAAAGCTATCGGTAGCGACGACATTAGCCTTAAGATGATTCTTACTGTGTTGGAAGATATTTTGCGTGTACTCACTCACATTGTTAATTTTTCTCTGCAGCAAAATGTCTTTCCATCACAGTGGAGGAGGGCTTATGTTATACCTCTCCCTAAAACGTCAAACCCTACTTGTTTCTCCCAATTTCGACCCATTTCCATACTTCCCTTGCTCTCCAAAGTTCTCGAATCCGTTGTTCATAGTCAACTTTACATGTTTCTCTCTTCTAATAACCTGTTATGTCCCTTCCAGTCTGGCTTTCGTCCCTCCCATAGCACTACTGGGGCACTTCTTAATATTACTGAGGATATAAGGCAGGCTATGGAGGACACCAAGTTGACTGCTATAATTCTGCTAGATTTCAGCAGCGCATTCAATTCTGTAGATTTTGACATCCTTCTTGGTGCTCTCCGTGCTATTAACATTTCTGCTTCTGTTATAGAATGGTTCTCTTCTTTTCTTTTCGGTCGCCAGCAGTGTGTAAAAACTAGCGAGGGTTCCTCAGACTGGATTACTTTAACTGCTGGTGTACCTCAAGGCGGTGTTCTCTCTCCATTACTATTTTCAGTGTTTATTAACAATATATCTCGTATCATTACTTCTCCATTCCATCTGTATGCAGATGACTTGCAATTATACCGTCACTTTACATTGTCGGAGGTGGCACAAACAGTTGCAGATTTGAACTGTGATCTCTCGGCAATACAAGCATGGGCTAGGTCTTTCGGTCTTGTTGTAAATCCTGCCAAATCCCAAGTTATGATTGTTGGTAGCAGTAGACTGAGGAGCCGGTTGGATTGGTCTACTATACCCGCACTTGTATATGAGGGTGTACAGTTAGCGTATACTGACAAAGTTAAAAACTTAGGGCTTATCTTAGATGGCACAATGTCTTGGACACCTCATGTTAATGAAATCAGTAAACGGATGCATTATTCATATCACTCTCTCAAACGACTTCAATATTTTCTTCCTTTCAGTACCAAAATTATGCTCGCACAATCCATTTTACTTCCCATTCTTGATTATGCTGACGTTTGTTTCTTAGACGTGACTGAGGAGCTCCTCAATAAACTCGAGCGCTTACAAAATTTAGCCATCAGATTTATTTTCAGTTTACGTAAATACGATCACGTCTCTGAATTTCGCGCTCGTTTAAAGTGGCTCCCAATCCGCCTTCGACATAATATGCACATCCTGACCATGCTCTATAACATCCTTAATAATCCCAATGCTCCTGCTTACCTTAAGTCCCGCTTTCAATTCTTGCCCCCTCCTACTAGACCGAGACGTCTTTGCCAAAACCACTCCAAAATGTTAAAACTTCCACTTGGCAAGTCTCAATTCTTAGGAAATTCCTTTTCATTTCGCGCTGCTCGGTTATGGAACAAACTACCAGTACAGATACAGGAAAGTCCATCAATCGGTTGTTTTAAGAAAAGGTTGAAATCGTACTATTTATCGACCTTAGTATGATTCGTTTCATCATGTATTTTATTATTTGTATTTTGTGTAATATATGTAGATATCTATAGTAATTGTATATGTATGTATATATATATATATATATATATATATATATATATAAATATCCCCTTGGGCACTTTGTGGCTCAGACGTGCCGTATAGGTAGTTTTTTGTTGATCCTTTTTCACTTGTTGATCCGGAGGCCTTTTGTTGATCTAATGCCAGATGACCATATGTAAATGTTGCTCCGTTTTGAGCCACAACTGTCACGACGAGTAATAATAATAATTAAGCGATTTATACACGATTTTATACAAATCCACCTTTTTGGCATACGAGCAGTTCTTGATCCAATTCAAACGGGCCAATCAGGGTGCTGCATTTGCCAAGGGCTTCCTCATTGGCACGTTTGGGCTACTACATTATGGCTACAGTAACTTAATAATGTCTAGCTAGTATTTCAAGAATAATAGTCTATCTAATCTAAATATTTATAGAATTCAGTCTGGAGTAACGGACTCCAGATCCAACCTCAATACTTGTTATTTTTTGGACGGGAATCTTTTCTTTTGTAACAACGTTACTGAGCGAATAAAGAATAGACGCAACGGCGGATCCAGGGGGGAGCGTCATGGAGGTCATGGAGGTCATGGGAGTCATGGGGGCGTCATGACTCCCCCCCCCTTAGCCCAGGACTTAGGTAGACCACTAATTGAACTAAAAAATAATGAAACAGCAAATTTTTTTGCACGATCGGAGTGTTGGTGCAGTAGTATTAATTATAATTAAACATTGTTACTTAAAACATAACAGTTAAAGTACTATAACACTAAAAGCAAAATAGGTATTTTCAAAATACTTTTTCAAACTAAATTACCCTTTGAGTTTTTGTCCAAACCTCAGATATTTTATTTATTTTAGGTATATCAATCATTACATAGTATAGTATAGTATAGTATAAAACAAAGTCGCTGTCGCATCTAACAAGTACATAAATAAAGAAAGAAGACTTTTTGGCTCTGAATATATTTCAAAAATCAATTACTTGTGTTAATCAATTTATATACTCGTTCTTATTTCATAGTACTTGTTTTGATCCGAATATATACAGATACCGTAACGGTCTATTAATTATGAATTTATTATACCTAACCTAGATATTTTATTTTGACAAAACTCCGTGTAGTAGTAGTATCCGATAAGGGTATGCGAACCCTAAGTATTATTTCAAAATGACCAGTAATTTCGAAGAAATAAGCCTTTGAATTTAGAATTTTGATTGTAATAAGCCTTTGAATCAATTTACCAAACCGACGCTCAAGGTTCGATTCTCGCCACCTATTTTTTTTGTTACTTTTTTTTTGTCTTTATTCTAATTTTAAATTAACTATTTTAATAATTAAATGAATTTAATCGAACAAAACGTTGTTAAGTATTCAATTAATTTTAATTTACATTACCTATTGTACTTTCTAAATTGTAAAGCAGCTAACAATTATAGTAAGATCTTATAAATAACTAACACAACAAGTAAAACATTTTAAATGTATTTTCTTTATTATTACAAATATTTTTTATGCATAATATAATAGTTAATATCACTTATTATTTATTTAATACTTAACGACGATTTTATCGATTAAATTCATTTAAATATAACCCATAAATATATAAATATTATATATAAATAAATACATAATGATCTGATAATCAAATTATAAGTACAGTCTCAAATTGAAAGTAAGAAAAACAGAAAATATAGAGAGAACTATAGGGATATAACAGAAAGATGTGAAAATTGGAGAAGGACAGTAAAAAAGTTACAAATTTAAATAATGTTGCCGCAATTTCTGTTTAAATGAATTTATTACATTATTATATATATTAGGCATACGACTAGCCTTATGACTGTTACTTTTTTTTTAATCTATACATCTATACATGTAAATAAAATTGGAGTGTCTGTTTGCAATATTGAAATAACCGTTTTTACTACTTGCATATGAATATAAATACGGTATACACCAAAATAACATATTTTACAAGTTTTGTCTGTCTGTCTGTCTGTTTGTTCCGGCTAATCTCTGAAATAGCTGGACCGATTTTGACGGGACTTTTTTTGGCAAGTAGCTGATGTAATAAGGAGTAACTTGCGCTACTGTTATTTTAGAAAAATAAAATAAAATTCACGCGGACGAAGTCGCTGGGGCCAGCTAGTCTATAGATATACCGAGATTTAATATTTAAGTTGCTATTATGTTGTTGACAAAATTTTACTGTAATGTTACTATTACGTTATCCTACACAATTTGTATTATTTTGGATGAATAAATAAATAAATAAATAATAATCTATACATCTATACATATAAATAAAATTGGAGTGTCTGTTTGTAATATTGAAATAACCGTTTTTTACTACATGCATATGAATATATATAAGGTACATATACCAAAATAACTATTTTTATAATTTTAGTCTGTCTGTTTGTTCCGGCTAATCTCTGAAATGGCTGGACCGATTTTGACGGTACTTTTTTTTGGCAGGTAGCTGATTTATAAGGAGTAATTTAGGTTACTTTTATTTTTAGAAAAGTAAAGTTAAAGTCCACGCGGACGAAGTCGCGGGAACAGCTTGTTTTTAATAAAAACATCTTTTTTGTGGTACTTGAGAATGTTGAAGCCTGTTGTTTGTAATATTTAAATAACCGTTTTTTACTACTTGCATATGAATATAAATACGGTACATACACCAAAATAACATATTTTACAATTTTTGTCTGTCTGTCTGTTTGTTCCGGCTAATCTCTGAAATGGCTGGACTGATTTTGACGGGACTTTTTTTGGCAGGTAGCTGATGTAATAAGGAGTAACTTAGGCTACTTTTATTTTAGAAAAATAAAGTTAAAAACCACGTGGACGAAGTCGCGGGAACAGCTAGTTGTCGGTAGTCTAGCGATTTAGCTAGCACACTGCTTTGATTCCTGCTTGGTGGTCGAGGGTTCGATTCCTCGCACGCTGCAAACATTTGTATTCATGAGTATGATTGTTTGTAACGGTCTGGGTGTTTTCTATGTATAGATAAAATACATATATAATGTATTTACGAAAAAAAATCTTTGTATTTATATCAGTACCCATAACATAATCTTCAGCTAGCTTAACTTGGGTCTAGATGAAGCTGTGTAAATTGTCCTGAGATTACTATTATTACTATAATAAATCTTTTCAAATCAGCCGATGTTTATTTTTGCCATAATACGTGCTGTTACCATGTGATAATATTACTTACGTACTTATTAAACTATTAACTTATTATTAAATTATTAACTATTTATACTGTTTTAAATGTGATGCGTTCATTATTTATATTTCCTTTGAATTAAAGACAAATGTATATATATATATATACATTTATATAAACTTGCACACTTAGTTGATCCAGCCACGATCCGTAGATATTACTGATTCCACTGTCTCTCTCTTTCTATCACTATCTTTGTATTCTAATATGCGATGTTGCCGTTCCGGCCGAGACCATGCGTTGTTGCCAAATGTATTCGTCGATAGTAGTAGATACCTATACTCGATATATATTTTTTCAACAATTTCCTGCAATAGTGAATCCGTAACGGCAATTTTTTTTAAATGCACAAAGATTTTTTGGCTCTGAATATATTTAAAAATCATTTACTTGTGTGTTGATAAATTTATATACTAGTACATGAAGTACCTAATACTTGTTTTGATTTGAATAGGTAGCGATATTATGAATTTATTATACGTAATCTAAAGATTTTGACGAAATAAAAGTAATTAGTTATCTGATAACCTTGACTTCATGCTGGCACCAGTATTATCAGATGATGAACATACTCTTCGAAAACTTACAGCAGAAATATCGTGTTTGGACTCATTAGATAGGTCTCGATGAATAGAGTTTAAAAAACTTAAAATAAATGGTAAATTAGAAATAATGTATAAATACCCCTTACGTAAAATTCAACCACTTTAAACTTAATAATAATAATAATTAGGAAAAGAGAAAAGCTATACATGCACTGAAAGTAATTGATGCCTTCCACACAATATTTTCAGTATTAAACAACTCTGTTTGTTCAGTAAAAGTGTAAATACACTGGTAACCTTTAATCATATTTTATATGCAAACATTACATATACAAACCCTAAAGTTTTATTTCAGAATAGCCAGTAGTTTTCAAGAAATAAGTCTTTGAAATTGTACGTGTAACTTATATATATACTAATTTTTTCACCATAACAAACAACACCAATATGGCCTAGTTAGTAGTTTACCTGTGTACCAATTAATAATAATAGTAATCTCAGGACAATTCACACAGCTTCATCTAGACCCAAGTTAAGCTAGCTGAAGATTATGTTATGGGTACTGATATAAATACAAAGATTTTTTTCGTAAATACATATATAT